TCTCTGTACTCTTTTATTTCATCACCACTCTATTATTAAATAAAATATAAATATGAATAGAATCAGTTCAAGTTTCTGTATATTGAAACAAATAAAATATTTAATTTAATAACAAACCTGGTGATCCACATAGGCATGGCCCCTGCGAATGAGCTCCACTGCTAAATCATACAGTTCTTGAAAATAATCACTCGTGTATGTGATCTGAAATTTTTAAATTGCAGGAATATACTTTTTAAGACAAATTGCAGCAAAAATAGCAACATACTTTACTCCTTTTATCAATATATGCAATGTACTTTAGTGGTAACATATATATATATATATATATATATATATATATATATAATCACATTACTATTATGTACAAATAAAGTACATTGTTATAATCGGTAAAGAAATGCAAATATGTTGCTATTATATTATGGATATAAAATACAGTATGGTAGCAAAATTTTACCTTGAAAGGTTTCCACCCCATCCATCCTACAATTTCTTCAATATGATCGATGTATTCTTTTTTCTCAGCTTCAGGATTTGTATCATCATACCTCAAGTAGCAGCCACCATCTCTCTCTTTTGCAAGACCAAAGTCAACAAACATAGCCTGCACATGCACATCATACTCTGTAACTTAAAACTTAAAACTTAAAAGCAAAGCAGGATCTATATATGTTTAATCTAATGACATTTGTAGAAATAGCAACTTACTTTTGCATGACCTATATGTAGGTACCCATTTGGTTCTGGTGGAAAACGGGTAAGAACTTTTCCTCCTGTTGTCTTTAAATGTTTCTCTAATAATGCTTTGGAATTGCATGCTCTGAGCACAGGTCTATCACTGAAAAATACTTCTGTATGCACCTGTCAGTTGTCACACAATCATAAACAAACATATTCAAACATCCCAAAAAGACAATACAAATAAGCCATGAGTCAGTCAATCATAATGGTAACCTTATAATTCTCCTCGGGTGAAGGGAATATTAAATAAGGATTCAGTTCTTCTTCAGATGGTGTCTGTTGAGGAGTTTCTTCAGGGGTACTTTTGACCTGTAAAAATTTATATATCAGAAAGACAAAAGCATTATGCTTTTTTAGCTGTATCAGTATAATAATATGTCCCACCTCTACTTTAACAGGCTTCTCTTTCTTCTTTTTTACAGGTTTCTCGTTATCTGCTGCAGTCTTTTCACCAAGTAAAGCATATAGCTTTGAATCTATAAGGTTCTGGGGAAAGAAACAATGAAGATACTAATCAATCTATAATAAAAAAAAGATATGATAAAACTAGAAAAGTGAGTTATTTAACTTATTTACCTTAACAATCTTTGGATCTGCCCAAGGCTGCTTCTTTCTGACATGAGCAAACAGATCACCGACTGAAACCAATCATCAAATGACACATCAGACTCAAATTCGACAGTTGGAAATTAAGGAAATACAAGAAAACTGAAACTCACCATTTGTTCGATACCGTTGCTCCAATATTGCACTCTTTTTCTCTTCAAAGATTTCATTAACTGTTTTTTCTATATCTTCAAGAGAGACCTCAACCCCTGTTAGCAAAGAAGGGCTTCAATTATATTACTCCACAACAATAAAGGATCTCAGCATTATACATTGTTGGGTGAACCAAAACATAACATACCAACTCCACAAGCTTCCTCAAATTTACTAATTTCAAGATCCTCTGAACCAGTGACTGTAAGAAATGCAAATGCAGCTTCTACCTGGGCAGGAGTCTTTATCTGCAATACCAACAGTATAGTCATTTCAATGATGGGTATATATTTTACTACTTGTTTTACCATAAGAATTAATCATATGAAAAGAAATCAAGAACCCAAAACCTTGGAAGAAACAATATATTCCAGCAGCTTGGGACGATGCACAAGGGCATTGGCAGGAAATTTTGTAGCAACCTGTTATGCACAAGCAATCATTGGTATGGTACTCAAAATTTCATATGCATAAAATATAAATCTGGAGGCTTGTAGAAGTTGAATTTTAAACTACAAGTTAGGATATCAACATGTGCATATTCAAGATGGAAGACAAACAACATGTCAAAGAAAGAGTTTTACTGTATAAAGAAGATTGCCAGTAGACCGTTCGCATCCATCAGTAACAGCTGCCTACAGATACATCATTGAATATGAAACAAATTTATCAGAAATATGAAGCTGAAATCATTTCAAACAGAAAGTAAGAGAAGCTGCTTTAAAAGTGTAACTACTCTCTAAGCACCTGAGAAAAAGATACAATTTGACTCTCACAATTGCCAGGTTCTATTTATATGCTTATAGTTTTCAACCAAGAATGGATTGTTTGGCTAAATCATATTGCCTTCTTTATGTGATAACAGTGATTATGTGCATTTCTAATACTAGCTAAGCCGAAATTTGCTAGCAGGGGTTTGAAATGAAGTTCGATGAAACAATGTTAAACTTATATGAACTTTAGCAGCTTATGTGTAGAAATGTTCGAAATCAGCTCAAGCCTAAATTGACAATGTTTTCTAGTCACTTGTAACCTTTATCATGAGCCTAAACAAAATCGAAAATGTAGTCAAATCTTTGTAAAAACAATCTATGAGCGTAAAACAAGTCAAAAACCATGTTTTGTTTTGTCCTCTTTTTGCTCAGTAAAGAGGTTATTCTGGCAGGAACAATATAATGGCATAAATTTTCACTACAAAAATGCATATAACTGTCATGTTGTTTGCAATTTGTTTCAATTGGAAACTCGGAAGACAGAAGCATGTTCTTTTAATAAGCTCATCTCTATAATCTCTCCAGAAAGACTTGATGTAACTGTTAATAGGAACAGCTCGATTATGACATACAGGCTCAATCACAGATTCCCAAACGAAACAATCAAAACTCCTTGAATCTACTTCAGACTAATCCCACGCATACACCAAAATAAGTTGTTCATGATGCAATTGCATGCAGCCTTATGAGTATCAGTATCAACCATACCTCGTTAATCACAGCAACAAGGTTCGTTGTGACTTTATTGTTGGCGATGGTGCTCTCTGCAGTGCGCTTATCTAACCCGATCTTCAAAAAAAGGTCAAGAGCTTCCACCATCTTTCTCCACCTCAATTGCTCCGAAATCTGTAGATTATTTCTAGAGATTGCGTATTGAAATAAACCCCTGTAATAAACCCTGCCAAATGTAACGTTTTCGGTGATGAAATGATTTTGGGGGTTTTTCACGTGACAAAACCCTAGAAGGGTATTTTCGGGATATGGAAATTTTTGCTTGATGAAAAGTCTACTCCATACAACAAACTAAACAACAGGTCTCACAAATTATTTTGAAGCTTTGGTGCATACAACAAAATAAACAGCAGAAGAGGTTCAAATCAGCATAACATGTGGTTTTCGAATTGATTTTGCAAGAAAAAAGACTCCACAAACAGATTCCATGTACAGATTCGAACAGAATGTAGCATTGTAAGGCTCAAATCAACAGAAGAGGTGGATTTCGAACAACATTTGCAAGGAAAAAAGCTTAATGTTACCTGATTCGGAGTCCGTCGTCGCTACCCTGCTGCTCCGGAGTGGAGGATCGAAGTCTGGTAGTGTGCCGCTGCTTTCTACCGCCGGTGAGTAGCAGTCGAGTTCACGAGAGTGCGACGATGACGATAAAGAACGAAAGTCGTCGCTGGGGTCTGCTGATACGAACCAAAGATCTGGCCCAAGCTCTGGTATATCCGACTCAAGCCCAAGTGCATGAATGGCCCATTAGCTCGGTAATTAAGAAATCGTCTTTTATTTCTTTTTATTTTTTGAAGTTGTTAGGATAACGGACTGAATCTTGAGATATGTATATATACATCATATTGAGATTAACATAATATATGATATCATATGATTTCTTCTTTTTTGCTTGCTCCATCTTCTTCTTTGTTCTTCTGTTATTCCCTTATTATTCGAGAGTTTACTCTCCTGTAATCTGAGGGATTTGACCGTCGTTGGTGAATTACTGACCTTGGTTGATTAAGATTTGTTTGATTAAAGCTTCAGGATTTGTCAGGGTGTATCAGTGGTATCAGAGCTCAACTGTTCCTTGGAAATTCCCAAGATGGTGGAAACGCGATCAGTGTTAAAATCATCAAAAGGTGGTGAGAACTCCCAAACTGATAATCAAAAACAAACTTCTGAAGGAAATGTATCTGATCCGCATCAAATTGAGGTGAATTTAAAAATCCTTATAGAAGGTTATAACCAACAGGCTATGTCAAACTCTGAGAATACTCGTGCTATTGCGGAAATTAATGATTTGCTTGTTGGCCTAAGCATGCAAATCACCAAATAAGTTAGCAATGAGAGTGGAAATAAGAATGGAACTAATAATACTCATAGGTGGCTACCCAAAAATAACAACAATCATGATTATGCCCCGAAAAACAATTATCATTCTTACTCTGCAAGAATGACAAAGGTTGAGTTCCCAAAATTTTGGGGGGATGATTTGAAGTCTTGGTTGTACAAGTGTGAGCAGTTTTTTATGTTGGACAATGTGGGTGATGAAGCTAGAGTGAAGTTAGCTGCAATTCATTTAGAAGGTAAGGCCCTTCAATGGCATCAGGCCTATATGAGACAACGGGAAAACACCATACCAACTTGGACAAAATATGTAGCTGAATTGAATGGGAGGTTTGAAGATTTGTATGATGATCCCATGTTAGAGCTAGTCTCCTTAAAACACACAGGTTCTGTCAAGGAATACCATGACTCATTTGATACAGTTGTAAGTAGACTCGCCCTCTCAAAAGAATATGTTCTTAGTTGTTTTTTAGTTGGGTTACAGTGTGATATGCAATATCATGTCCGGATGTTCAATCCTACTACTCTCCAACAAGCTTATTGTCTAGCCAAGTTACATGAAGCTACGCAACAGGCCAAACAAAACAAACCCAACTTCAAACCTAACAATCAGTCCTTTAGCTCACCAAACATCCAAAAACATTTGCCTAATACCCAAAAATGTTACCACCTCTTTTACCGACCCCAACGACACCCCAATTTACCAACAATCCCCCCCCCCCATTGAACTCAAAAACTCATACCACCAGGAGGACTTTATCTCCTGCAGAATTTGTTGATAAGAGATCAAAGGCCTTATGTTTCTTTTGTGATGAAAAATTTGAAAGAGGGCACGTGTGCAAAGGAAAGAAATCGCAACTCTATCATTTGGAGTTTGAGGAAGAAGACGAAGAAGAAATGGTAGAAGAAGAAACTGAAATTAATACAGAGTTGGCACATATTTCCTTAAATGCAATATCTGGCATATCTTCTTTCCAAACAATGAGGTTGACAGGTATGAGTCGAAAGAAACAGCTACAACTGTTGTTGGACGGTGGTAGCACTCACAACTTTATTGATAAGGAAGTGGCGATATTGTTGAATTGTTCAATTCATACAGGACAAGACATGAAGGTTAAAATACCAGGTGGTGGTCAATTAGCATGCAACGAGATTGTAAAAGATTTTTGTTGGACTATACAGGGAATGGAGTTTAAAGCGGATGTTTATCTAGTTCCGTTAGGTGGGTGCGATATGGTCTTGGGAGTACAATGGTTGTCAACTTTGGGTCCTATCTTATGTGATTTTAAACATCTTACAATGCAGTTTAATTACCAAGGGAAGAAAATGGTTTTGAGAGGATCAAAAAGCCCAAAACTAAGCATCATTAAAGCTCAACAGTTAGGTAAATTAATGCATACACATGGTAGCCTTGCTATGATGCAACTACGTGCAATGGGAGAATCCATACCTAACTACCAGATGAACACGACACCGCCATCAAAGAATCAGAAACTCCCACTGGAACTTCAACTCTTGGTGTCTAAATATTCATGTGTTTTTGTTGAACCCACAACTCTTCCACCATCAAGACAAGAGTTTGATCATCGAATACCCCTCAAGGAGGGATGTAACCCAATCAATTTGAGACCTTATCATTACCCATTACTACAAAAAGATGCTATAGAACAACTTACTGAAGAACTACTGAGATAGGGAGTAATTCGCGAAAGTAGCAGTCCTTTTGCTTCCCATGTGGTATTGGTAAAAAAGAAAGACAGTGGGTGGAGAATGTATGTGGATTATAGGGCGTTGAACAAAGAAACTATAAAGGATAGGTTTCCAATACCATTAATTGAAGAACTAATGGATGAACTACATGGGACTGCCTTCTTTTCGAAAATCGATTTACGATCTGGTTATTACCAGATACGGGTGGCAGAAGAAGATGTTTACAAGACAGCCTTTAGAACTCATTGCGGGCATTTCGAGTTTCTTATCATGCCTTTTGGGCTCACAAATGCTCCGTCAACCTTCCAAGGACTTATGAACAATGTTTTTAAACCTTATTTAAGAAAATTTGTATTAGTATTCTTTGATGACATATTGATCTACAGTCGAAATTGGAAGGAACATCTCCAACATTTAGAAATCGTGTTGAAGACCATGGAAGAAGAACAACTTTTAGCCAAGATGAGCAAGTGTTCTTTTGGTGTACAACAAATCGAGTATCTTGGCCATGTAATTACTCCAAAAGGCGTGGCAACGGATCCGACTAAGATACAAATTATACCTGATCTGCCCATTCCTCAAAATTTGAAACAATTGAGGGGTTTTTTGGGTCTAATCGGGTACTATAGACGATTTGTCAAGGATTACGGAAAGATTTGTAAACCACTTACTGATTTACTCAAGGAGGATTCCTTTAGATGGACCAGGGCTGCCACTATTGCGTTTGAAGCTCTTAAAAAGGCAATGACAACACCACATGTGTTAGCGCTTCCATATTTTAATTCTACATTCATTATTGAGACGGATGCCTCAGGGTGTGGGCTAGGAGCAATGCTGATGCAAAAGGGCATCTGATCGTTTTTATAAGTAATGCTTTATCCCCTAAAACCTACAACTATCAACTTATGAAAGAGAATTGTTGGCTGTCATTTTTGTTGTTAAAAAATGGAGTCAATATCTATTAGATAGTCATTTTATTATCCAAACCGATCAGCAAAGTCTTAAATATTTATTGGAAAATAAAATATCAACTCCCTTCCAACAGAAATGGTTGTCTAAGTTATTGGGGGTTCGACTATGAGATAAGATATAAACAGGGAATCACCAATAAAGTAGTTGATGCTTTATCAAGGGTACAAAGTAGTGAACTATTAACATGGCATTATCTATGGTACAATCGGATCTCATAAAGGAGATTTCAGCTTCCTGGAATTCGGATGAAGGTCTTCAACTGTTGATTAAGAATAAGGAAGATAATTCAGGATCACATAAGCGTTACTCGTGGCAAGGAGGTGAATTAAGAAGAAAAGGAAAACTTGTTGTAGGTAATGTACCAGATCTGAGAAACCGGTTAATAAAATGGCATCACACGTTAGCTCAAGGAGGTCATTCAGGTGTTACAGCTACCTACAAAAGGTTAACTCGGTTGTTTTATTGAAAAGGCATTAAACGAGACGTGGTAGAGTTCATTAAGAGGTGTGTGACATGTCAGAAGTGCAAAAGTGAAACAGTTGCTTATCCAGGAATGCTTCAATCATTACCTATTCCTCAATGAGTATGGGAAGATGTATCTATGGACTTTATTGAAGGGTTACCTAAGTCTTGGGGTAAGGAATTAATCTTAGTTGTGGTTGATAGACTTAGTAAATATGCTCACTTTGTGGCACTTTCACATCCTTTCACCGCTATAACAGTAGCTTAGGTTTTTATGGACCAGATTTTTAAGCTACACGAATTCCCTAAGAGCATCTTATCAGACAGGGATGCAATTTTCTTAAGCACTTTTTGGACAGAGTTGTTGGCTATACAAGGTATGGATCAAAATTTGACAACCGCTTATCATCCCCAGTCGGATGGAGAAACAGAGGTTGTAAACCGATGTTTGGAGGTTTTATCTAAGATGCATGTTGATATTGCCATATTTTTACATATTTTAGGCAATATTTAATTACATTTTGATTAATATTTTGGTTATTTGCATAGATAAGTGGTATTTATAAGGATAAATTACATTTTGCAGCCAAAAGAAGTCATCTTGAAGAATAAGGACTGAAAGTGACAGGAACCGGAACTTTGGAGGTTAAAAGCTTAAGAGATGAAAAATTCAGCAAAAAGGCGTACTCACGATGTGAGAAACAAAGGCTCATGACGTGAGTATGGTGATTCTAGAAGATAAACATCCGGAAGCAAAAGAATTCGTGTTGGATACATATTCATTCGAACTCACGACGTGAGCTTCCTTGCTCACGACGTGAGGAGGGAAAATCAGAAACTATAAATATCCTTGATCCTCACAATTTTCAGAGGTTGGCTGGTGAGAAAATAGTTACCAGAAGTCGATTTTCAAAGGTTTAGAAGGTTAGAAACCTGGCAATAGCACCAATGAAGAAGGAGAAGATCATAATTTACTTTATAGTTTGGTACTTTACTATGCTTTCAATTATGAATTGTTTTTGTTTGATTGTTAGTATGAGTAGCTAAATCTAGTTGTTTCTGTTAGCTAGATGAAGCTGGAACTCATGGTTTGTTTATATTAATTGAGGCTTTTCTAGTTGGTTAATGTCTTGTGTTTGATTGTTTATACCTAGCATGATTAATTTGATACTAGATTGCTTCAACTCATATTCTGTGTAGCTTAGTGACCAATAATCTGCATTAATTTGATTACCTAGTAATTTAGTGAACATTAGATTATTAGAGCTAAGATTGAACTAATCTTAGATAAGTAATTGAAGTATTGAATTTGGTTGTGCTGGAGAACTCATATTATGAACATAATTGTGTTTGTTAACTCAATCTTACATAGCTCCAATTCTACTTAATAGTTAATTATGTGTTCAATTATGTGTGACTATGCTTAGATCTACATGAATTAATTCAACATTAGTTAATTTGGAATTGAATTGCTAATAATACATTAATTGGTAACCAACGAGAATTGTCATAATTAATAGTTAAACCATTGAGGGAAAGCGGATTCAAACTAACAGAAGTGTTCTTATTACTTGATTGAATTGTGTTTGAGAATTTAAGTTTGTCTAAACTTGCAAAATTAGATAAAAACCATTACTTTGCTAGAATTTAAGGTTAATTTAATAGTAAGTAGGTTAACTAATTAATACCGTTCCCTGTGTTCGATACTCGACTTACCCAAAGCTATACTATAATCTGACTAGGTACACTGCCTATAGGTGCATAGTTAGCAGAAGTTTGTTAGATTATAAATTTAAAACTAGTATGTACTTTTGTGCACATCACATGTGTAGTGATAAACCCACAGATTGGATAAAATGGTTACCGTTGGCGGAATACTGGTATAATACCAGTTATCACTCCACCATCAAAACAACCCCATTTGAGGTCGTCTATGGGCAACCACCACCAATCCACTTGCCTTATCTACATGGAGAGAGTAACGTTGAAGTTGTTGATAGAAGTCTTCTTGCAAGAGAACAAACTATAAAGTTGTTGAAACATCATATGGCCAAAGCTCAAAATAAAATGAAACAGCTAGCAGATGGGAAGAGAACCGAAAGGCATTTCGAAATAGGGGATTGGGTGTACCTTAAATTACAAGCTTACAGACAGTCTTCTGTTGAATACCGACCCAATCATAAGTTATCAAACCAATATTATGGTCCATATCAAATCTTGGAAAAGATCGGTCCTGTTGCATATAAACTAAAGCTACCAGTAGGTTCTCAAATTCACCCAACCTTCCATGTGTCAAGGCTTAAGAGACATTTTGGCATTCCTCCTGGAACCATAAGTGCACCACCTCCACTAAATGAAGGTACAACATGCAGAGAACCAGAGGCTTTGATTGACAAAAGAATGATAAAGAAACATAATCGGGTGGCGGTAGAATGGTTGATTCAGTGGAAAAACCAACCTGCTGAAGAGGCTACTTGGGAAGCTGCAGAAAAGATTATGGAGTTATTTCCAAATTTTAAAGCTTGGGGTCAAGGATTAACTGAAGATGGGGGTACTGATACGAACCAAATATCTGGCCCAAGCTCTGGTATATCCGACTCAATCCCAAGTGCAGGAATGGCCCATTAGCCGAGTAATTGAGAAAACGTCTTTTATTTCTTTTTATTTCAGTAATGTTTATCTTACTGAAGTTGTTAGGATAACAGAGTGAATCTTGAGAGATGTATATATACATCAGATTGATATTAACATAATATATGATATGATTTCTTCTTTTTCGCTTGCTCCATCTTCTTCTTTGTTCTTCTGTTATTCGAGAGTCTACTCTCCTGTAATCTGAGGGAATTGAGCATCGTTGGTGAATCACTCACCTTGGTTGATTAATGTTTGTTTGATTAAAGCTTCAGGATTTGTCAGGGTGTATCATCTGCCGCTGTCCGCTGCCCCTCGCTGGTGAGTAGATGCATCCGTCCGCCGGTGAGTAGAAGTCGTCAAGCCGATGGGATCGTCAGCGATGGAAGCTACGATGCATATAAAGGAGAAATGGGAGTGACTGTCGGTTGTGCTTGGAATTGGATATGATGATACCCTGATAGATAGAACATACATTCTTAGGGTTAGCTTAAAGTCACTTAGGGCAAAAATGTAATTCCCGATATATATTGTACCGCCCCGTTCCTGGTACGTATTAATTTATTAAATGTCTTTTATAAAGAGCTACTATGCGAGTAGTAGCCCTAACTCGTCGAGTAGATGCCAGGTTGGACACGGGTTTTAAGTGATCTACTCGGCGAGTCCGCGCTTGGACTCGACGAGTAGGCCAGTCTGGAGGAAACCCTAATCCTTAGGGTTTGTACCCTATTTAAACGTCCTTATAGCCCCCATCCCAGCCTCCAGCAACCTTAGAGCGTTCCCCCTCAAAACCCTAGCCTCCATTGGTGAGCTTGAGTGATTCCTTCTTGATTTTAAGTGTTTTGGTGTATTCTTGGAAGTGTAGAAGAGAAGGAAAGAGAGAAGGTGCAAAGGAGAAGAAGGAGATCCAGAAGCTAGATTCCATTTGCTACTTCATCTGGTAATAAAGTCTCTACCTTGTTCATTTTCCTAGTAGATCTTCATATATGCTTGTTTTGCCACTTTTGGGACATTTCAAGGTCCAAACTCGAGATTGGAGCTCCCTTAGGGTAGTGAGCTATAGATCTGGACATCATTGAGCCCCAGGAGCTCAAAGTAGCTACCTTTATGCAAAGCAAGGCCTTGTTCCAAACCTTAGGACTCGACGAGTTGTTCTTGGTGTTTTAGCTCCATACCTCTATGCATGTACGTAAAGTTGGCAACTTTACGTGTTATATCGGCCCTAGAAGCTCAGTTCTATGAATTGGATGCACTGGAATTGATTAGAATCAACTGTTAAGTGAGGACATGCATAGGACTTGACGAGTTGTTCTTGGACTCGGCGAGTCGGAGCGCAAACCCTCCCGATTTCTCCGATTTTAGAATTGTGAGTTGAATCAGCAAGTGGAAGAGGACTCAATGAGTTAGAACAAGGATCTGGAAGTAGAGGGACTCGGCGAGTCTACGTCCCGACTCGGCGAGTCGAGTCGCGAGTTAGAGAAGTGTGAGTCCGGGAACTCGGCGAGTTCATAGTGGGACTCGGCGAGTAGAGTCAACCAGGAAGTTGACTTTGACCAGGGGTAAAATAGTCATTTTACCCTGCGATTAGTTATCAGTATTTGATTTAGTGTTTATGGGATTTGTAGCCGGGGAGTTCCGGAGCAGCAGTCAGACAGTCTCAGATTTAGCACCTGAGCAGCCAGCATTACGAGGTGAGTTTCCTTCCAGTAGGAACGGGTTTACGGCCACAATGCCGACCCGTTTAGTTAGCAGTAGTTCCGGACTTCGGTCTGATGCAGTAGTTCAGTGTGCTTGATGTCTTTGTGATTCAAGCATGTCTTTGTGTTATGTGTTCCGGACTTCGGTCTGATGTAGTATGCAGTATATGTGTTTATGCTAGTAGTTATGATTATGCTATGCTATGTTCAGTCAGTTCCAGACTTCGGTCCGATGCAGAGGGCAAGGCCCTGGTTAGTTCCAGACTTCGGTCCGATGCAGTTTCCGGACTTCGGTCCGATGCAGAGGGCAAGGCCCTGGTTAGTTCCGGACTTCGGTCCGATGCAGTTTCCGGACTTCGGTCTGATGCAGTGGGCAAGGCCCAATAGTTGCTTTATATGTTATTGTATGGTATGTGGTAGTTTGGGGGAGCTCACTAAGCTTTGTGCTTACAGTTTCAGTTTTTGGTTTCAGGTACTTCCGCTAGTAAGGGGAAGAGCTCGGGATGATGGCATGGCACACACCACAGCTTCAGTTTATCCTGGGAGTTTTATTCAGATATTTTGATATGTTTTGACATCAGTTAATTTGATAAATTTATTATGACATTTCGAGACGCATGATCCATGGATTTATCTTTTAATATTTGATATTATGGTTTAGTAAAGTTTTCAAATGAAAATTTTTGGGTTGTATTTTTGGGATTTTACAAGTTGGTATCAGAGCCTTGGTTTGAGGGATTCAGGCATACTTTCGGGTATGACTGGACTCAAACTAAGGAAATGGTAAAAGATTTTCCAAAGAAAAATGTTTCGAAATAATTTTTGAAAAAGAAACTTAAAAAGAAAAGAGTTTTGAGAAAAGGAAAAGGGTGTGGTGCATGCGATCAGCCGAGCTCAAGTAAGTACTCCCAAATTACCCATACAAGTTTATGTTATAATTATCAATTCCAGTTTCAGTAGAACAACATGCTAGAATAGGACTAAGGATCTAGGAGGATGCCTTATGTGCCTGTTGTATGTGTTTCAGCTTTGTGAGAATTGCATGCTAGTATTGAGTAGACAGCAGTAGGATAGCCTATTTTGGTTATGCCTGATAGTATGAGCTTATCATTGTATGCTAGTACAGTTTCTCGTTATGAGGATAGATTTGCTTGAGTAGTTTCCTGTGTCCGAATGTTGCTTGCTTCGTGCTTTGTAGGACTCGGATTGATGGGAGTTAGCCATTAGGTGAATACGTCACGTCACATATGATCATGGTTGAATAATCTCAGAGTACTGGATTTGGCCCTATTGCGCAGCTCTCGTTTGAGTCTAACCGTTGTAGGGACGAGTCTTTTACTCGAAGGGTTATATGAGCCTCGTCACATGTGATGATATTCAGGTGATGGTTAATTGGCATTACAAGGAGGCCTTCAGCAGCTTAGGACTGGATTGGGTGGAGTCAGAGATTTCCCTAGGTCAAGCCTAGGATGAGAGTAGCAGAGATCAGTAGTAGTAGAAGTGACTTGGTGGAGTCGAGGCAGTGCTTGAGGAAAGTACGGATAGATGTGAAAGGTAGTATGGGCCCGTACTACTGAAAGCAGAGGATCCGTACTTGAATCGAGGAAGGCTGAGATGAGACCAGGAAACTTGTAGTAGTAGCGATCCCTCGAGATATATCAGTGTTCCTGACGTTGTCATGATGTGTTTTGTAGAATGGTGGTTTTACGCCCTAGGCCAGCAGTCGGCAGTTCAGGAGCCGGCGAGGGATCAAGATCAGGCTCAGGGGCCGAGCATCTAAATGAGCAGACCAGGGAGTTCCTCTCTTCAGAGGTTACTCGCACCATACTTGAGCAGACTCCTGTGATCTTCGGTTCGATCAAGGAGGGTTTTTTAGATCTGATGGACGAGAGGTTGAGCACCTTCCGTGCTGAGGTGGCGGCGATGATGGGGTCGCGCATACTCACCTTCAGGGAGTTCCGGGCTTGTGGAGCTCCAGACTACCATGGGGCGCGGGATCCCATTGCGAGTACTAGGTGGTTGGCGGATGTCGCCAACGCGTTCCGCGCCAGCAGATGTCCCGAGGGGGACAATGTCAGACTAGCATCCTGTCTTCTGAAGGACAGGCGCGGGCATGTCATCGGGGATGACGCAGCGCTTGATGCGATGACTTGGGCTGATTTTACTACTAGGTTCAGAGCCGTGTTTGCACCGGTTATTGAGGTGCAACAGTTAGCCAGGGAGTTTCAGGATCTCACCCAGACTACAGAGACAGTGGCGGGGACTACCGCCAAGTTCAGGGAGAGGGCTCTTCTCGTTCCTCAGTACGCAGTTGATTAGGAAATGAAGAAGGCCCGTTATCATGAGATGTTGCGGAGTGATATCCGCCAGTTTGTGAGCCGGTCCAGCTGTAAAACGCTGGATGATATGATTGCGAGGGCTCGTGAGAGAGAGAGAGATTTGGAGATGGAGAAGAAGAGGAAGCCATAGGCGGCATCTGGCACAGGGAGTTCGGGCAAAAAGCCCAAGGTATCAGATCCCAGATCTAGAGGACAGCAGAGCCACAGTCGGTGTGGCAAGTGTGGGAGATTGCACGATGGGGCGTGCAAGGCAGGTAGTGTCGGTTGCTATAAGTGCGGCCGGACCGGGCATTTGAGTAGAGATTGTACAGCTACCACCACCACCACAGCAACTGATCTGATTTGCTTCCATTGCAATCAGATGGGACATAAAAAGTCCCAGTGCCCGAGTTTAGCAGCAGCAGGGAAGGTGGCAGCACCTGCCCCTGCTACTTTGAGGATGACAGACGGCCGTCAGGGCCGGAGTGAGGCGCCAGTGGCGAAGAGTAGAGCTTTTCAGATGACAGCAGAGGAGGCGCGAGCGACTCCTGATGTGGTGATGGGTATGTATTTTCCTCTTATCTCTTTATTGATATTGATTGTTTCTCATGGTTATATGTTTTCGTATAGGGTCGTTCTTAGTGAACGGCGTTTCAACTACAATATTGTTTGACTCGGGGGCCACCCGATCATTTGTTTCCCTTGCGCTTAGCAAGAGGTTTAGCAGGGCTCCGGGGGAGCTAGATTGCCTACTTGAGGTTGAGATAGTTGATGACAGGACCGTCAGGGTCGCGAGAGTATATAGGTCGTGTTCGCTGCAGTTATTTGATGAGCAGTTTTCAGTAGACTTGGTTCCCATTCCCCTGCGAGGGAATAAGGTTATAGTGGGTATGGATTGGCTGAGCCCCAATGGGGCAGTGATTGATTGTGAACTGCAGTTAGTGAGGGTTTGCACTCCTAGTGGGGGAGAGTTAGTGATTCA